TAGATAGATAGATAGATAGATAGATAGATAGATAGATAGATAGATAGATAGATAGATAGATAGATAGATAGATAGATAGATAGATAGATAGATAGATAGATAGATAGATAGATGAATCTTGGAAAACTATTGAAACTGGGTTCCCATTGCCTAGATCCTCTTTGCAAATTTGGTACCTGAAATAGCAGACATTGTTGGAAGCAGAAGAGTCTACAGTGGTTCCTATATATCTGTGAAAGGCAGAAAGTAAGTAATTTGTATGTTATCCTCCTTGAATTTTTATACTTCTTAATGTAAGCATTTATGGCAAATGAGTGGTTTTTTCACATGATATACTCATGTGAAAAACCAGGCCCAGCATTTAAATACCATGTTAAGCTTTGTTATTGTTAGATGTGGTTGGTGCTTTTGTGCTAACATTGTTGCTTGGCTAATTTAATGTATTGTGCAAACTGAGATAATAGCTGATTTCAGGAATTGCGTTGTCTTCATTAATTAAATTAATAGATGTATAATCCCTCTTTTATTTTAAAGCTCAAGCTAGCAATCATCATAGACCATCCTATTTTTTCCCCTTAAAAATCGCCCTTTGAGGTAGGTTGTATTGAAACAAAGATAGATAACATTCAGTAGGGTTGGGGTGAACCTGGCATTCGTTATCTATCAATATTATAACTATTGCACCACACTGCCTCACAATGTACTGTGTAAAGACAACATGTGTGTTAACCCAGCATCAAAGTCAAACTCACTGCAAAAATCAAAATATGTTCCTTGCTCTGAGATTCTTTTCAATAAGGACAAAGTAAGAGAGATGTTTTATAAATAAATGAATAAATAACTATTTCATATGACTTCCAAATTGGGGGAAAAATTGACTTTACAAAGACATTTGCTTTGCGAATAAAGCTCTATAAAAAGATAGCAATAATATTTAGACTTATATACCACTTCACAGTGCTTTACAGCCCTCTCTAAGCAGTTTACAGAGTCAGCATGTTGCTCCCAACAACCTGGGTCCTCATTTTATCATCCTGGGAAGGATGGAAGGCTGAGTCAACATTGAGCCTAGCCAAATAAAAAAATGAAGTGCCAGTTTCAGATATTAATACATGAGAGGCACTTTCTTTGATTCACTGGTTGCACTTTAATGCATAGAATAGAGTAGAGCAGAATAGAATAGAATAGAATAGAATAGAATAGAATAGAATCTTGGAGGTCATCTAGTCCAACCCCCTGCTCAAACAGGAGAACCTATACCATTTCAGACAAATGGTTGTCCAGTCTCTTCTTAAAAACTTCCAGTGTTGGAGCATTCACAACTTCTCATAGTCAACTTGCTATTTTGTTTATTTTTATTTCTAAAGTGTACTTCCTCCCAGAGCAGTTTGGAAAATAACAAAAAAACAAAAACAACACTGAAATAAAATCCACTGTCTTATGAGTGAGGTGCCAATCCTCGTCTTGTTCCTTGAAAATAAGACAGTGAGCAGCAAACTTCTCTTCTTTCTATAGGTTTATTGTTGTTTGTGGCAATATCACTCTGAGCAGTGTGACTGCTTTCTTAATTGACTTCATAACTCAGGACAGAGGAGACATTGCCAGTGAGATAGTCTTTCTGGGAGAGTAAGTATCACAGTGCTATTCTATCTAAGCCCTACAGGTCATTCCTTCACCAGGAAAATGCAACAAAAGTGCTGGGGATAAACCCATTGTGCAGAGTAAAGACAAAAGAAAAGAAAAACCTGGAAAGTTGGCCACAGTGAGTTGGCTGTGATGAGTTGGCTGGGGCAAGTTGGTCAGAACAAGTTGTCCTACCTAGACCCTCCAGGCTGGGAAGTTTGAACTGAAATAAATGCAGGATTATTTTTCCCTGGAAAGGCACTAGTTTAAATGCATTGTCCTTCCTAGTTTGTCTCCAAGTATGCATGACAGGGTTAGAAAATCATAGTTCTTTCCCCATGACGATTTGCCCCTTCCCAAGGTCAGCCTCTGACAGATGAAGTGTCACCTTCTTATGAGGTTGTCAAGCAGAGGTTGTCAAACATACATAGCCAATGAAGCCACAGAACATTGTTCTCCATCACTTCCATGTTTTTTTGGAAACTGAAATGACTTCTGTCCTGTTTGATAGGATTTACTCCTAGGTCAGAGTGCTTTGGAATAGCAGGATTAAATAGAGTTAGACCTCAACAATAAACCTAAGGCTGCATGACTCAAGTGGTCATTGAACATATATGCAAGGTCTGTAATTCCCATAGGTAGCTATATGGAAGAGTAATTATTTCCCAAGAGTTGATAGTTGTTTTTCTTCTCTCTCCAAATATAGGCATCCTCCCTCTCTGGAACTAGAAACTATATTCAGATGTTACACTGCGTATACCACTTTTTTCCAAGGTTCCGTCATGAATAGTAAGGATCTTCTGAGACTTAATGTAAGGACAGCATTTGATGGTACATTACAGTCCTGTGTAAACATTAGACCAGCGGTTCTCAACCTATGGGTCGCAACCCCATTTGGGGTCGATCGACCATTTCACGGGGGTCGCCAAGCAAGGCTGTCCGCCATTTTTCCCCCCTTTTCCAGCGGGTGCCTTACCTCCCTTGAGCTGGGCCAGCTGGTGGTTGGCCTGCTCCGTCTCTGCTGCTTGCCAGCTACGCCTCGGCCGGCGCAGGGGGCGGAACCACGCATGCGCGGCGCTCCTGGGCAGGGAAAGTCCTCGACTTACGACCGGTTGGGTAGTCCTCAACTTACGACAGGTTTAGTCCTCGATTTACGACCTGTTTAGTCCTCGACTTACGACCGGTTTAGTCCTCAACTTACGACCGGTTGGGGGTCGCAGCATTAAAAAGGTTGAGAACCACTGCATTAGACAGACTGGGATAGATGGTTATATGCCAGACATAGATGTTGAAGGAGGATGTGGTGTGCCTGTGTATCCTGTTATCCCTAAAACTGGCCTCTGCAGTAAGATGCTACAGAAGATTATTTCCCCCCTATTATCATTAAAGAAACACTGATCTTATTACCAAGTCCTTGCAACGTGGAGTGACAGTACTTGTCACTTTATTCTTCACTAAATGTATCTGACTGGTATACTGATCATACACAATGGGTGTTCATTGCAAAGTCAACTGTGACATTCTCTTGACTGTTTCTTAACACGACGACCAAAAGCTGCTTACTATGTAACTATGGCTTGTAAAGTATAATATGGCAGAGTTTCTCAACCTCAGCAGCTTTTAGATGTGCAGACTTCAACTTCCAGAATTTTCCAGCCAGGATGATTGACACAACTTAAAGTTGCTAAGGTTAAGAAGCACTGATTTATGTTGTGTGCAACTTTGGGATGAGGGGATGGAGTGAGTGCAGATCACCCTTAGCCTTTGAGGGGTTGCTCCAAAATGGAGGGTAAAGAATGGGTAGGGATACAATAAACTAAATTTGATGTAATTTAAATTAAATTGAAATTAAACTGATTACATTAACATGATTACTTTCCCTGCATTTAAGAATTTGCACCCGCTGTGAACTTACAAATGAAAATTCAGTTTTGGCAACTGAGGCTTATTTGACAGATTACCGTTAAGCAGATTATGCTTTATACCTCTGCAGGCGCCATGTCAATATGTCAAAGGAGGGATTATCAAATATATTTTTTGTAAAATTGAGAATATGGTTACAACTGTGCATAAATAACCTTTGGATTATGGTGAAATCCTCCACCAGAATTATGGTGGCGAGAAAAAGAGTGATTGGACAGGAAGAATTCCTGCTGAATAGCTTCCTTCTGCATTTCAAAGAAGTCTTGAAAGCCAGAGAAGATGCCATATGAAGTGTCTTGGTTGTATAAAAAGAGGCAGGACTTTCACACACACTTCTGATCACCTCGTAATTCAGAGAAGAGGGAAAACAGCATAACTCCATCATAAACATACCGTAGTTATTGGGAAGAATAGTTTTTTCTGGAAAATGAAATAAAAGCTAGCACACACAAACAAACAAAAAATCCCATGAAAATATATCTGCATGGCATGAGTTGCAATTCTATTTAATTTTCTTGGAAAATACACTTTGTTTATTTATTAAATTTATTTGCCACCTACCTCACCGCAGGGTTACTTTAGGCAGCTTACATTAATAAAAAGGAAGAAAAATGAAAAGGCATATAAACAGATTTAAATAACAGAACTGTATAGTAAACAATGTCAAAGAAGCACAGTGAGAATAAATACATCACTATGATAAGCAAAAAGATGGATGGATGGAGAACAGAGAGCAAGTAGGGGAAGGTGGAATCTACCATCAATCTAGCAGCCACCTCCAGTCTGGAAATACACACCCTCCCCAATTTGGTCCCCAGGTCAATCAGCACAGCCATGTCTTCAGGCATGTAATATAATTATAGATAATACAATTAATAAGGCTATTTATTACATAGGCACATAACATTCCAATATTTTCTCCTCTCTCCTTTCTCTCCTTGAAACATAGATGGGCAATGCTGAAGCATGCCTCATTTTAGCTGATATATGTTCTACTGATCCTTATACGGAGGATATTTCCAACATCATGAGGTAAGGAAGGATCTGAATAGCTGCATTTCTTTATTTAATTAGGATAACCTCCAGTGCCTTCTTACCAATTTTTTTACAATATTAAAACTGGCAAGGAGGTTTCCCTGGTTCTAGAATGATTTTGTATGTCTTTCTTTTTCTTAATGGATCTGCAAATGTTGCTCAACTATAACTTTCAGTGGTCTTCATCGTTAACCAATATTGACTGTTACTATTGGGAGTTTAGTTAGCATATCTGGAATATCAGACGTTTTCCTATGTATTTTGGTATCTTGTTTAACCATTAGATACTCAGATAAATATATATAGAGAGAGATCATGCATTTGGAGTGCCTAGGAAAGACAGATGCAAAAATAGCAATCCCAGTTAGCCTTTTAACAATAATTTGAAGAATTTCATTGCATTTGTATAAAAGCATACAGTAGGTGTGACAGAGAATATGAGTGAGAGTGCATACAAACCATGAAGAGATACGTCTGGGTGGCCGAAAAAGGAAGAAACAAAATGTTGTAATAATTGTATATTGTTAGAAATTATTTTATTCTCTTGGGATCCAGAACAAACCTGACGCTTTCGTTCATGAAGATGCTGGATTTTTAGTTGGTTGTTTTTCCCCTCTGCTAATCAATAAATATAGAAAGCATTCCCTGATCCGAGCCTTGCAATTTTAAGTGGCACAACCTAAAGATTAAAAACTAGGGCTCAGTTGTCTGTGAACAATGGATGCCAGCACATAGCCCATCCAATGTGAAGTTTTTGATGCTGTCCTTCATCAGTTAAGCTGGTGGCAAATTTATTCTCCCTCTTCACTTAGTTTAGCTAATATTATTTACTGTTCATATTCTTAACACACCCCTATCCACAATATACAGTGACAATAGCTTTGTTTTTCATGCAGGGTACTGTCTATCAAGAATCATTTCCCAAACACCAGAGTTATAATACAAATCATCCAGTCTTCTAACAAGGTTGGGTTGTTTTTCCCTTTTTTCTTTCTTCTTGTACCTTTGAGGTAGCCCCCGGTTTATATAGCAGTTCATTATGGGTTTGAGAGGTGGCACTTCACCCACTGAGATTTTTCAAAACAGAATCTTTTTTTCTGTCTTGTAAAATTCATTTAGCCATCCCGACAGTCAAGCCTTCCACCAGCAGAGATTCTAAAGGAAAAATATCCCATCTCCCTCCATGGTTCCAATATCTATTTCTTTAAAATCCAATGCCACCCAACTCCTATTATAAAAAGGGGAAAGACAGTTGCCGAGTCTTCAATTAAAGAAAACTAAAGTAACTAATTAAAAGGGTCTACACAAGGCCTGGGAGAATAACTAGAATGTCATAAGGGTGTAAGCTGCATGAGTCTCTAAGGTGGATTTTCATCTGGAGGGCAGGCCAGCAACCAAATGGGCATCCCTCCAGGGTCCTGCAAGATGACATAGTTTGATCGATGGGACCTGGAGAATATCTACTCTACAGAAATGAATGAAGATAAGTGATATCTCAACCTATGCAGTCTAGGGGCTTTAAAGATAATAACTGGCACCTTGAATTGCATCTGGAAGACAACTGGTAACCAGTACAATTCACAGACCAATGGAAAGCTGGCTGGAAGGTGTAAGGAGGATTTCCATTAGGACAGGGGTGTCAAACTTGCAACGTCATGTGATATCGCAACTTTTTTTCCATTGCCGGAAATGGGGTGGGCGCGGTTTCACTATGACGCATCTGGCTCACAGACCGGCAGTTTGACACCCCTGCATTAGGACAAAAGTGATAGGTAGCACATTTACTGATGCAAATGTGTAAATGTGGCACATTTACTGATACAACCACTTAACCACTGTTGGTGCAGTAGTTAGAATGCAGTACTGCAGGCTACTTCTGCTGGCTGCTGGCTACTAGCAGCTTGGCAGTTCAAGTCTCACCAGCTCAAGGTTGACTCACCCTTCTACCCTACCGAGGTCAGTAAAATGAGGACCCAGATTGTTGAGGGCAATACGATGACTCTGTAAACCACTTAGAGAGGGCTGTAAAGCACTGTGAAGCGGTATATAAGTCTAAGTGTGATGGCTATTGCTATTAAAAAAAATCAAATTATATTCAATGACACCAGCTTTGTATAAGAAGTGCCACAAAGAAGAAGGAGCTGCTGCAAAGAAGGGTGTGTGTGTGTCAAGCTATTCTCCAAAACCCCTGAAGGCAGGATGAAGAAGCAATAGATGGAAACTAATCAAGGAGAGAGTCAACCTAGAACTAAGGAGAAATTTCCTAACAGTGAGAGCAATTAACCAGTGTAACAGTTTGCCTTCAGAAGTTGTGGGTGCTCCATCACTGGAGGCTTTTAAGAAGAGACTGGACTGCCATTTGTCTGAAATGGCATAGCATTTTCTACTTGAGCTGGGCATTGGACTAGAAGACCTCCATGGTCCCTTCCAACTCTGTTATTCTGTTATCCTTTATCCTTATTGCTACTCTCACCTGCTGCTGACATCAGTGGTGTTTATGAAGGAGTCATGATGAAACATTCCATGTTCTCCAAGACTTTGTCAAACTTTATACAGGTTCATGATGCCAAGTGATTTAGAAATCCAATCTAATGTTTATAATAAAAAAACAGTTATTTCAGAACCTTAGCACACTGTTTCATAAGTATAATACTGTACTATTATATATAATTTATAAAAGAGAGTGAGTGAATTCAAAGTATATAACTATAATACCTTAGTCTTTCCAAGAATAACACTCTTGTTGACATGAAAAATGTATGATTTGCTTTTTTAATTTTTTTTTTTATATATATTGCTCTCTATTTCCTCCTGAATTAGGTTTATTTGCCAAAACTCCCTGGATGGAACTGGAAAAAAGGTGATAGTATCATCTGCTTTGCTGAACTCAAGCTTGGGTTAATAGCTCAGAGTTGTGTGGTGCCAGGTTTGTCCATACTGTTGACCAGTCTGTTTATTAGAGAAAATATCCAGGTACTTCTCTTTAATCTATCTTGACCGCATTGCCAATCAATACTGATTGCTTGTATTGATTTATTTCCCCCCCCTCCCATCTTACCACAGGTTAACTCTGGGCAGCTTACAGTTACATATACAGTTAAAAGATAAAAAGTTAAAATCAGACGTTAGAACCAAGGACACATGGGGAAGGGTGGGGGCGGAGTGAAGGGAGGTGGGATCTGTTGTTACTTGATCAACCATCTCCACTGTGCTGTTTCCCCATTGGGGCAAGAGGCCAATTGGTAGAGCTGTGGTGGTGCAGTGGTTAGAGTGCGGTACTGCAGGCTACTTCTGCTGACTGCCAGCTGCCAGCAGTTTGGCAGTTCCAGTCTCCCTGGCTCAAGATTGACTCAGCCTTCCATCCTTCCGAAGTCGGTAAAACGAGGACCCAGATTGTTGGGGGGCAATATGCTGACTCTCTAAACCGCTTAGAGAGGGCTGTAATTTAAAGCACTGTGAAGCGGTATATAAGTCTAAGTACTATTGCTATTAGGCCCTTATGAAAGGATAGGAGATTTGGGGCCAACTTTACCTCAGGGAACAGAATGTTCCAGAAGGCAGGAGCAACAGCAGAAGAGGTCCTCCTCCTGTACCCTGCCTGCTGGAATAATTGCGCTGACAGCATGCCTCCTCTGCTAGCACAAGTTGTATGGGCCAATCCCAGGTTACTGCTATGAAGTGCTCTCTAAAAATTATATATATACACACAAATATACGTGTGTGTGTGTGTGTGTGTGTGTGTGTGTGTGTGTGTGTAAGACAGTTTTTATGGGGAGACACTATTAGACTTCAGTTAATTTATATTTATATATTTATGAAAAAGTCAGGCCTCTAGGGCAGAAGACAACTTATTGCTGCTCACTTTGTTACACTTTTCATAATCATTCTGCCTGTTAGTTGTGTCTGTGAACTGAAATATCCATGTCTGTTTTTGTTTAATCTTGATTGAAGATTTGTTGGGACATCCTCGTTATTAAGTACTTGATATTTCTAATCTGAAGGACTAACAGGATGAATTATTGTTAGAGTGGTTGGTGTCCAATTTAGATAACAACTCTAAGCCACAGGGGATCCAGCTAATAATTGTTTTTTTATAGCTTAAGGATGTTTGGATTAAGCATCAGCATGAAGTAGAAGGCCAAGACTATAAAGTGATGACTCAGCTTCTTTCCAATGATTTTGTTGGCATGTCCTTCAAAGATGTTTGCCAGTAAGTTTCCCCATTTACCGCTGCTCCCTTAATCCACTTTCTTAATTTTCCACTTGAAATTCCACTTTCTTTGCCACACAGACATTTTCAGATTTCCATCTACTGGACAAGTTGGTACTCCATTAGATTAATTCTTGACATAATTTTTTCCACCATCCCAATCAACACATGAACAGCATAGTTATTGCTGCATCTAGGGATTGATTTTGTATATTGAAATGCCACAATTTATTCACTGTGAGATTCTGGATTGCATATTTTGTATTTCCAGAACTCAACCAGTTCTGGATCTGCTTAGCTTGATCTCAGTGTACCAGGTTCCTGAGTTCTGAACATTCATTGGCGTGTTAAAAGCATATTTCTGATGAGATTCTTCAAGGCTTATGACTGCCAATGTTTAGACCTTACTGTAAGACATAGGAAAGATCAAAGGAAGATCAGTCAATTTTACTTCCAGGAACCTTCTAAGCCAGATGCGCTCAATATTTTGCTGCAGACTCATCATTTTACCAGCCATAGAGGCAAAGCAATGCAATGCACACTCTTTAAAGTTCCTCCAGAGAGGATGGAGCTGATCATACAGATTCTAGCTGGCTACTATATAAGGTTTCGGACTATTGCACAGATATGTATTGATTCTAACAGAGGAGAAACTTAGCCAATTGGACACACATAGAGCTATTGAAGGTTCTGCTTTCAATAATTCTAAGCCTTGCCTAAATTGTGGTCCTAGAGGGTTCTGCCTGGATGTTTCCCATCATGTTTGAAAATGTCAGAATATAAGGCCTCACCCAAATTAAAGATTGTTTATGTATTAATAATGGGACAATATTCAGAACTTTGCCTCTTTGTTTATTTGTATATCATTTTTCAAACCTGAACTTATCTCTTTGTGTTTAAGACTGTGCTTTCTGAAGATGGATCTAATACTTCTTGCTATTGATTTTCGAACTGGAAAACAAGGAAACAGGTGATGCTTGAACCTCTCTTTGTATCAGGTTAATAACTCCTCCCATTCTTTTGTTTGAATGTGTTTGTGACCATATTATGTTGCCTAGAATCTGTTGATAATACTCCAAGTTTGCTTGTTAAGGATGTGTGAAACGTCAAATCAAGATCGGTCCGGAAGCAATCTGATCCAGACCTTTCAACTTTAATTTCTCTGCAATTTAAATCTAGAAAGAATTTCAGGATAATTCTTTCTGTGTATGCACACAAATCCATTGAGTTAATTCAGAAATCTTATTTGATCAAATGTTATCAAAAGTGAATTTCAAATTGAATTTTCATACAGACCCAGTTATTTGGTTTGAAAAGACAGAGGCCCATAATGTCAACAGATTGTAATTGGCACTCTGAATACATTTTTATTATTTTAGACCCAATGGAATGTTGAAAAGAAATTACTGTATGTAAAGAAGGTTGGGACTCCATCACCAACATGATTCCCCTAAATCTGAACATAAACTAAATTTATTGGGAACTGAGAAAAATGGGCAGGATCAGTCCAGAATCTGTGGAAAAAATAAAATCCCAAGAGCTAGTTGGACAATGACATACAATGCTGCCGATATCATCACTCTTTCTTCTTCTTCTTCTTCTTCTTCTTCTTCTTCTTCTTCTTCTTCTTCTTCTTCTTCTTCTTCTTCTTCTTCTTCTTCTTCTTCTTCTTCTTCTTCTTCTTCTTCTTCTTCTTCTTCTTCTTCTTCTTCTTCTTCTTCTTCTTCTTCTTCTTCTTCTTCTTCTTCTTCTTCTTCTTCTCCTTCTCCTTCTCCTTCT